TGAAGCATCTTTCTGACTTAAATGTTATCTTCAAAGTGTCAAGGATAAAAAAATAAGATCACAGTAAGCAATTTTCCATAGGAGATTGAATTTTTATAGTTTAGAAAGTATTTAAAAGTTAAAGATAAAATGTCTTATTAACAGGGAATTGCTAAATCTATTTAAACATCATTATTTTAGACACTAGTAGTTCAGAAAAGTTTATATCTGAAGTAGAAATATAAATTTTCTACTATTGCTCAAGGAAAGAAAATTTAGCAATTAAATTAATGTATGAGAAAGTAGAAACATGAAGCTAATTAAGAAAAATGGTTTTAAAGTTGTAATGGCATCCTTTTTTCCATTAATTATGAATAATCTATTAATAATGAATGGTATCTATTAGTACTTAGACAATAAAGGCACATATAATCATTATCTATAGCATACTAGTATATATGATTGAAAGGATAAAGCTACATGGTTAAAACTATGCTGCTCTTTCCTGTTTTATTCTCTAGCTCTTTTCCTTCTAATTGTGCCTTCACCAGCTCTTGCCCTCCTATACTTCTTCCAATTTCCACTTCATTTGACCTCTTGTTCTCTTTAGATTCCACTATTTCAGTGTTCTGCTTCCTGCCCCCCACTTGTCAACATTCTAAGATTTAAGTTCTTGCTCTCCATTCTCTTTTCCTTCACCTTTGGTTCTCAACCACTGTTTCTAGGTTTGGCTTCTGGTTTTTTGTATTATTCCTGTTCTCTAACTGGTGAGATCAAAACTGCAAGGATGTAAGGCGAATTGGAAGGTAGAAGCATAGAGAGAATTGACATGTATTGACTATCTACTCTGTGATAGGTGATTTCCTTATATCATTTACTTCTCATAAGATGTAGATATGTTTTACAATTATATTCATTTTATTCATATGTACACTAAAGCTCAGAAAAGTTAAACATTTTGTTGTAATGGACAGAACAATTAGGTGATAAAGCCAAGTTTCAAAGTATATTGGTTCATTTACTCATTAATTCTTTTATTCAACAAAAATTTAATGAATACATATATTATATGTTGGATATTGTGCTAGGTGCTGCAATATATCCAGCCCTTATTCTCATCTACCTTAAATATGTAGTGGCATTGTCTGATGTCACAGATGATGATTTTACTGCTATACCAAACAGCTTAAGAGGAAAAAGAGCCCTAGCCAGTTTGGCTTGGTGGATAGAGCGTCGGCCTGCGGACTGAAGGGTCCCAGGTTTGATTCTGGTCAGGGCATGTACCTTGGTTACGGGCACATCCCCAGTAGGGCGTGTGCAGGAGGCAGCTGATCGATGTTTCTAACTCTCTATCTCTCTCCCTTCCTCCCTGTAAAAAATCAATAAGATATATTTTAAAAAATAGGAAAAAGAAAAAGGAAATAGAAGGTTCTGATGGTTCATAGAAAAGATGTATTTGACTAGATGTAAGAAAGACCATATTTGTGCATTGCTTAGAGATACTCTATTGAAAAGTTGGTTTTTGTCTAGTCCTAGAGAGAGTCTGACAATCTTCCCATCACTACTGTGAGCACCGGTGCCTTTTAGTGACATCACCATAGTATATAATTTCCTTTTCTGTTCTGTTCTAAAATACCGTATTTGCCGGCGTATAAGACGACTGGGCGTATAAGACGACCCCCTAACATTTCCACTCAAAATACAGAGTTTGTTATATACTCGCCGTATAAGACTACCCCCTCTTCCGCACACCTTCCACACACCAAATAAAAGGTAAAACAATATCAGATTTGATTTTAACATTTTAATTTATATTCAAATGCTTATGACATGCAGGAAAACTGTCACAAGGCTGTATGTAATCAAACATATACATAAAACAGTGCAAGTTTATTACCGGTAAACATACCGGTAATTCACTAAAGAAAACACACTCTATAGACTGGTACCGTAGATGCTTCTCAGGAACACAGGCAAGCAGCCCACAACCTAGAGGGACTGTCAATGATAGAAGAAAGAT